AATCTAACATACGATATTGACTCATGCTCTTATATGAATAATATTAACTAAATGCTACTTTTTCCTTTACCATGGGCTTTTACTGTTGTGTTTGCGAAGCTTTCTTTTTGTAGCTAGTATTGAAAAACATTCTTGAATTAGACTCACTTCAATCTTATCAGAACTCATAATTTAAAAAAGATCAAGAAGAGAACAGTATCGTTCTTCTTATAATAAATTTTAAATTGCATTGATATATACACGAAAATGAAATATATAGGTGACATCTGATTCTAGTTTAACAAAGAAAAATATTAATTTCAAGTTTAAATGGTTCAATCTCTCTTTTTCAATCCCAAGTTTATTCCTCAATTTTATTTTTTTTAAAGTCATTTACTAATTTCTTTGATTGTAGAATTTAATCGATGTCTATTTATGATTACTAGTCGGGGTTCCACATAATATATTGCTATTTCGAATTGGAAATCGTGACTCTGTTTGAAAAAATCTTTCTTTCATTATTTTTCATTTGTTTGGCACCGTGGGTGATTTTCTTAGTACGTTGGAGGTAAGGATATTCTGTTACCCTGTACATCGTATATCATGAAATCGCTTTTTGATGGAAGAAGAAAATCCAGTTTTAAATGTTTTTATGCAAATTTTGTTTTGATTGACAACAAATAGATGCAATGAAAATTGCTAAATTCGAGTTGAATCTTGCAGGTAAATCAGATCAAAAAACAAATATTGCTTAGTTTTGTTTATATAAAATAATTTAAAAGCTAACCTCTAACAAACTAGCAAGAGCTAACCTCTAGCAAAAACGCTTGGTGGATGAAGCATATTGGGTAAATAGCGATAGTCTTTGTGCTGGCATTTCAAATATATTGTTGAAAACAATTTTATCTGAATTTATTTTAAGATGTTCTATAATATTAAGCAGAAGCAATTGTCTAGTAAGAATATTTTTTTAAGAACTACAAAAGGAACAAGCAAATTTTAAAAAAAATTGCCATCCTCCGCATTCGTTGTGTTTATGGGTGAGATGTCATTATTTATGGCTAATTGTGTCAAACATGAACACCCTACCATATGTCATTCAAAAGCTGTCACCAAAGTTCTTTTTTCAAACTCTTTTACGATTACATGTAACAATGGAGCAAACATGAAAAAAAAATCCTAGACCTTTAAAAAATGAAGTGTTACATATCCATTCATATTTCAGATTATGGTCTAATATTTTGCTTCGTTGAAAGGAAATCAATTTGAGAAAATAGGTATTCCTTATTGAAAGTGACAAAAACGATGACGTTGTAGAACGTCACGGAGCAGCAGATAACGATGGTATTTGAGTAACAGAGACTCTGTATCGGTCGAGGTTTAACTGTAATTAAAAAGCTGAACAAAAACTTTAAAAAGTTACAACGTCATTAAACGACATAGACGCTTCAGAGCTGCTGATCTTATGAAAGTACAGTTAAGTGATAATAAATTAAAGGAAAAAATGACAAAGGAATTCATATAAAGAGAACAACTGTTAGAAAAATAAATGTCAAGTGATATAAATGGTTTTTAATGAGTGGGTATTGGACTATATTATTTGACATGTATTGGGATAGTACTTTTGAGAAATTCTTGACGCTATGTTTTTGAAGCTACATTGCCGTTGAGTGTGCTCCTTAGATACAAACTATGTTAATTTTAAAATTATGTAAATTTATTTCTATTAAATCGAATGGAATGGAACTTTACACATCAAGAAAACAAATATTGTTGTATATGATATTGTGCTTATTTTAAATTCCTTGAGAGTAGTATAACGAAGATTGACATCGTCCATGAACTTTTCGAACAACCCTCGCAGTTATGAGAAAAAAAACTAACATTTTGAAAAGAAGGTCAAACGTCAATGATCACTGTTCAATGACCCTGAGTGCCAAGTAAAGGACTTATGTCTAAATTTGAAGCTATTTATCAGTGCATGGTGACGTCTCTACAAGCATAAAAAAAATCTCACCCGAGATGTAAACAATTAATCAATCAAAAGGCACGAATATATTCGTAAATGACCTTGATTGGACTTAAAATATTCATGATATATACATGTTTCATGTATGATAAAGATTTTTTGTGCGCCGATCTGATATGTGACATGGGTTTTCAGACCAGTCCTGTCGTTGATATGAAGTGTTAATATACAAGTCGGGACAACTCACCCATGCAAATTGGATATAATAGTCCTTTTGGGATAAAATATCCCAGATGGGATATAATTTACAGTGCAATTTTTTTTACATTAAGTATCATAAATCCGCATCAAGATACAAAGATAAATTTTGGTAAAAAATGTTTTTCTTTATGCTCATTGTTTAGGAGTTTGATCCCTCGGAAGTTCCTTAGTTAACTTTTTAAAAACTCTTAACAAACTGTAGGGTTGCAGAAAAACTTGCAAAACCAGAAGTTATTATATTATTACATGTAGAAGCTATTACATTCCATTTGGGCGAGTGATCCCAACCTGTTATATTGTGACTTCAGTCGTATTGCATAGTGCGTGCATGTCAATCAATATGTTTTATTTCATAGCAGATTCATGCATATGGCCTGTTCAAAAATGAAATGTCTTTGTCCAAGGTTTGAAAAAAAGAAGTGAAGTTGAATCAAACTCTTTTACAATAAACAGAATCAGGTCGGTGTATAAATAAGTTATGAAGTCATGATGTCCGAAAAAGGAAAAATGACAGAAATCTCGATTATTGACTAATACCTTCATTGTGAATTCTTTTGCCATTCTTTACGTTAATGTGAAATTCACTTACCGATTCATTTCCTTTATCCCCTGAACTGAATAGCTATTAGTGAGCGGCACTAAAGACTCAAAGCGCTGTGGCGGAAGTAGATCCATGCAATGCGACATAAAAATCTTCTCAATTTCCGCTCGTACATATAGCATCGACGCAGTGGAAAGCCAGCAATATCAATTGGACCTGGTATAAACTCTTAAACGTGAGTCTCTTATGCTTATACATTCAGTTTGTACATCATACTTCTTATTCATTAATAGTGTTATAAGCTTGTAAATTACATTTCATTCACCAATGAAACTTAATTTTTTACGAACATCAAAAAAAAAAGAAACTTTTCTCTTAACCTAGTTTTGTATTAAAGCGTGTTTGGGTCATTGAAATAATGAGATAATTTTTGTACTAGGGTTAGGATAATATCAGATATTAACGTGTAATGTACAATTTTAGTATGCAATTAACTAGCAATATTGGCAATACTTTTTGCACGACATTGCGCAAAATTGCTCCACATTTATAGTGAATTGGGACATCTGCATCATGTGAGACAGCAAGTTTTACACTTCTTTGTTAATCTATTAATCTATGCAATGCAATAGTTTTTCTAGTAATATTTCCATGAATTTAGAAGTTTTATTACATATACTTTTTTAAAATAAAAAAAAAATCCTAGAATCACTGATTTAAATATTTGTTTTCATTTTGATTTCATTCCTGTACATTATTTGTAACGAGTGAAAACCGTGGCTTTAAAGCAAATGTGAGCTGCATTTTTGAAAATTTTATTTTGCTGTTAAAATGTACTATTAATATAAAGAATGGAGGCGTACAGTGCGAAGACAATTCCCCGCTCTGAGAAAAGACATTTTTCAATTCTTAAAGTCGTATTTTTCAAAATTATATTGTTTATATCATCTATTACACATTTAATTCTGTATTTCGTTGTTTTTATATATATTATCAATAATTTATTTCTCACCCATATTTTTAAGATATGTGTAAACAATGACGAAAAAGCTTCACGTATGATTCGAACTCTCTCCATCATGTCCATAGCGCAGGGTTTGGCACAAGATCGACCGCGTTAACCACTACGCTACGAAGTATATGCATTATCGACGTTCGTCAGTGTGATTTAAATGAACGGGTTTGTTGAAGCGTATATTTTTTCAAAATTTTTCGCTTTTCGTATAGAATGGGTTCAGATTCCATTTTTTGGACAAATGAAATAGATTTCACATTTACGTTTCCATCATTTAAGCATTAACGAAGAATGGAGACTTGACCCATTCATGTTCCAAATTCATATTTTATAGTTCTAGTAAACCCATTTTCCACTTAATATGCTTAACTGTCAATTTTGAAATATAGATAAAGAAGGATATGGAGATAACGAACAGTATTCAATCTCAACGTCCATTAAACAATATACAAAATAAGAGCAGAGCAAACACGGACCTCCGAAACATCAGAGGTGGGATCAGGTGCCATGGAGGAGTGAGCATCCCCTGCCGACCGGTCACACCCGTCGTGTGCTCGTTGTCATGATCAGGAAATAACGGAAAAAATCCGTCGTCAATTCAGTGTATAAACAATGGACTATCAATTGGTATGAAAAACGTCAGTCAGCATTTGACTCAATGATAAATTGTATTTGCTGACAAGGTCGTTGTATCGACCATCGAATTTACGAAATGATGACTTTAAACGAGACTGTTGATATTCTTGTTTCATCAACTTGCTAATCAATAATTTACCTCGTTTAAGAAATTGTTCATACGTAGAGCATGCTCTTGCGTATCGAATCAACTGAGATATATATACTCCGTATGCAGGTGATGAAGGTATATTGCTGCATAAGTAAGGGAAGTTGACGATAGAAAAGTTAAAGTCATCACGTTTATCATATAGCTTGGTTGTTAGATTACCATTAGTGTCTTTTTCAAGTAAAATATCCAAGTATGAAGCAGAAGTGTCATAATCAATTAGACTGAAATAAAGCAGAAGAAAGACTTCTATATTTAATCCAATATACAGTGTTATATTTAAAAAAAAAATGATTGTACAAGACGACAAAAATATTGTAATTTTGATTCAATCATACCTTATGAATAGTTCTTCCATCGCAAATATAAACAACAAATGTTTTTAATGTAATTTTTTTTGTCATTGAAATAGTTATTTACAATTTTGCATCAAAAAGTTTCGACATCAAAGTTACATCTCAAATTGCTTTTAATGAAAAAATACAATATCTACATACATGTAACTCCATCAATTTAACAATGTTTTAGCTAACTGTCTTGGCATTACAAAATTGCATTCGTGGGGCAAATGATTAAAAGGGTACAAAATCACAAAACAAAAAGTTTTTTATCTGTAATTTAATGGTGAAAAGAGTTTTTTGAAAAGTGTTCATAGGAATGCTTGATTCATTTAAAATGCCATTTCTCACATCTTAAAAGTATTTGTCGAAGTAGTTTTTGTCTTTGTGAAGCAACTCAAAAAGCAGAAGGCTTTGACTGAATATATTGTTCTATGTGCATTTTTTCTCAATATTTACATCTACTGTAGCAAGGCAAGGCACGTCCATCGGTTCAAAATAATTAGTGTTGTAAATTATTTCCAAAAATGTAATTAAAATCATACCCATCAAGTGATAATCTTTCATCAAACCGGACTATTCTCCTCGGACTTACGTGGGTAACTATTCCCTCGGACGTGTTCTCGGAGAATTATTCAACTGGGCATGTCCTCGAGAAATTAATTTTCTTGGGTCTGTCTTCAGTGAATTATGCTCTTGGATCTGTCCTCAGGGAAATATTCTCTTTGATCTGTCCGCGGGGTATTATTCTCTTGGGTCTATATATAAACTATAAACTATAGTTTACTATAGTTGACTATAATGAACAATTTGACATTATTAAAACTTTGATTTACATTAGTGAAAACTTTTACACTTTGATTTACTATAGTGATAACTATGAAAACTTTGATTTACCGTGGTGATCACTATGGAAACTTTGATTTACTATGGAAAAATTTTGATTTCGTATGGTGATAATTTTGCCAGTTTGATTTACTATAGTTTACTATTAACTGTAGTAAATCATAGTTAACTATAAAGTAAGATTTTGTTAGGGTTGGGTCTGTCCTCAGGAAATTAGTATATTCTCGGAGAACTTTTCCCACTGGCATGTTCTCGGGAAACTATGGACTAAGGAAACTATTCCCTTGGTTCTGTCCTCGGGAAACTATTCCCTTGGGCATGGACGCGGCAAAATTATTCCCATGGGCAAGTTCTCGGGAAATTATTTCCTTGGGCATGTTCTCGAAAAATTATTCCCTTGGGCATGTTCTTGAGAAACTATTCACTGGAGCATAATTTCAGGAAACTATTCCCTTGGGCATGTTCACGGGAAATTATTTCCTTGGGCATGTCGTTGGTAATTAGATCCTGCCATTATTATAAAAATCAAAAAGGATTAAAAAAAAATTAAAGGAAATTCCCCCTCTCCCATTTTTTTCATTTGAAAGAAGAATCTGAAGGCTTCAAATTCATGTTGCAATAAAATGAAACGTTCCATCAATCGATTTTTAATTATCACTTTTGTAATATCATACTCTTTCCTCACTACTGAATACAAACTAATACAAAATTAATGTTTATTAGCTTGAATACATTAACGATAGTAAACCAGACACGTTTATGTAGGCAAAGTTATTGCGTAATTTGTACTCAAGTCTAGGAATATACTTGTTTCATTACATATATTAGGCATGCTTTTTAAAATTTTAGTTGTTTTTGTTTCGTTCGAATCTATGAGTAAAAATAATTTACTTCCTCTGTATAATCAAATTTTACTCGCGAGCATGATTTTTGAAGATGCATAATCATGGCTTTATAGTGTCTCAGCATTTTTCTTCTAATAGGTTATTTGAAAGATGAATTATATCTTCTTTCAAGAAATTTTAAAAAGGAATAGAATTATAGAAAAATCTTTTTGTTAATTGTTATTAATCGAAGGGAAAAGGCACTTTATTTCACTTACAATCATTGATCGCTTCAATGCAATCCCTCTCTCTCCAACTCTAATGTCTCTGATTTCTCGATCTAATCAGATCGTGGAAATTCCTTATTTATCAGAAGCAAAGTGGAAAATATCAGAAACACTATTTAATTATCCAAAATGCATCTCTCATATTTCTGTCAGGCGTTTAAGCCTGGATCAGTAGGCGGTATACAAAGTGTAATAAGAATCCCTCAAACCCTGATCCGAAGAATCAAGAGTGTGTAAAAACGGTTCCTGCACAATACATGTAGTTTGCTGAATTTTACCAAATTTATATGGAATCTAGTTTCATGCAACATGAATATGCGATTAAAAATTAATTTTTTGACTTTTTGAAAGCATCTTTATTGGTGTAGTCTACTTCAGATGTTTTCTTAAGTCATTAATCAAGTATTTTGTAGGGTTGATTTTTTTTTAATACTTTGTTGAAAAAAAAACAAATAAACACATACATGTAATTAAAAAAAAGAACATTCGATTAATCTAACGTAAAAATCGTGTTTCTGTTAATTTAAATTAATATCACCTGACTAAAAAGTTAGAATTACTTCAAATAATACTTGAAAATTTGTTAGAGTAAAAAAAATGAAGTTATATCTCATATAAAACGTTTATTTTATAGAGGTACGTGTAGTTTCTTTTACTTTTGATGGAAATTTTAATATTCAAATTGAAAAGTTTGAATATGAATTCATAAATATTCGTAGAAGATCTCGTTGTAGATATATGTCATGGAATCTTCACAATATTCATTAGAATCGTAAAATATGCCCAATTCATGACCTTGTGGTCCTATCAGCAAACAACCAAATAGACACATCTGTCTATATGCAAATAGTTAACTAACGCTAAGTGGATACGAATTACCTTTATTCATTTCTAACTACCATATCGATTCACAAGGGGTGACAGTTATATATGTATGATAATTTCATTTGGACTGAGAATCAAATATCATGCGGGCAGTTTTGTTCTATTATCGTGAGCGCCATCTAAATCTGATTTGAAATATTTGTTGCGGTTGTAATTGATATATTGCTTCTATTTAATGTCCAATGTCGGCAGTAATTAGCTCTGATTTCTAGTATCAATCAGGGATCTTTTATCTTTTTACAAAATATACATTTCATTATTAAATCAAAAAGAACTGGACGTCATGAAGATTCGTGTTACTGCAGCATTGCTTTTAATTTTGCTACACTTCTTGTTCTTTGAAGAATACTGCAATTTTTAGCATCCAATTACAGCATCGAGATTGCATAATTATTGAATTTTTGTTTCAAGATACTCTTCTTTTGTATGGCAAATAAAAATACAGAAATACAGATACAACATACTATTTAATGTATGCTGGAGAAACGCAATTAGGTAAAATGATCTCCAGGAAATGACCGACAAACTGGAAAGTAAGTCTTAGAATAGATCTTTTCTCTGTAATGAGACAATATGTTCAAAAGATTACAAGACAGTTGATGACCTATCAAATCAATTAATAGCAAATACACATGTATTATTTACTATAGTACTGTATGTATCAAAGTTATAAAGGTAAAATTTCAAAGCATTTTTAAAATTTCAAATTGATATATTTTACCTCGCTTGCACATTGTTGGAACTATTGCCTTTGCAATATACATGTACCGGTATACTATTTCTAAAATCAACATCTTTGGTGTATAATTAAAAAGATAATTATATTATAATGTCTCTTCATTTAAATAAAAGTTGTAGAGTAAAATTTCAAAGTAAATCAGACTATCAAAGTATTTTTCATAGTTATTCATTTAAAAAACCTTAAATTAAATAAGTTAATTTGTAGAACTTAATTTTATTTATGAGTTGGCCGAAATATGTGATACTATGGTGATATTGTGATCTTACGCTCTCTTACTTAATGTTCATAAAAAATAAATTCTGAGGGATCAGATATCTATAAAAACATACAATTTAAAATAATGATAAAAATGACACATTAAAACAAAACATGACACAAACCTGTCCATTAGTTGAGATCTCGGATTTCAACCTAATATAGAATTTATGAACCCCTAAGGTGTGAAGTTTTTTTTTTGGCTTCAGCTTCATTGTATCACCAATGTCCATCTATTTTAATTAAGAGCAAAAGTAAGGCACTTTCTTGTAAGGTATCCGTTCACTCTGTCCTGTACATCGAGCATTTGCGACCTACCGCTGCTATTCAAATTTGGCTTGGACGTCATCGATCTGTTAAAAGGCATGCAACACCCTTAAGACAAAGAAAGCTAACAAAACAGGATATGACTATTGGAGAACATTTGTAATATCTCTGGTTTCAGATTGGTATATATTCGGGTGTCTTTTCTTCATACAGTCATTTCCCAGTCGGAAGCTAATCCCGAAGGATGCTTTTCCTGATTCTGACTTCAACGTTTTTGTTGATGTGCACCCATGCAGAGGGAAAGGATGTTTATATAACGGTAAGAAAATATTTATTATAATTCAATTTTAACAGAAATTAAACTTCAAATTAAAAGCATGCAAAATCAGTCTGTAAAATGTTTTTATATGACATGCATATAGTTAACATCTTCTAATACTACTTGTATAAATCTTTTTTCATATGATAAATATTGTTGCAGTTGTTTTGCATTCCCATAGAGGTACGACATGTTTCAATTCATATAAATGCATTTTGGCGTCTAATAATCTTGTTATCTATCATTTTTCAGTAATTAAAGACAATATAAAATCACGAAAGTAAACTTCGTGCTTATAAAATACAGTTGTACATGTATCAATCTCTTTTATTTATAATTCTCTAATTAAGAGAGACTCACTTACCCGGAAGTTTTAACATTATTCCTCCTTCAGACCCTCAAAGTAAATTACATATACGTTAATATTATGTAAACATACAAGTAAATTGTAATATTAATATTTCACATAAATAAAGAAAATTGCATCTAGGAATCTATAAATTAAAATATAACAATCTGGAATTCTTTCTAAAAATACTTTGATTTACCATATTGAATTCGAAACTTTGAATTGCTATAATTAACCGTAGTTAAATAAACTATAATACTTTTGTTAGGGAAAGGAATATCTTAAATTTGCGTTTTGAAAAACTCATGTCAGAATAAGTCTCATATCTATGATAATCAGAACCGAAGATTCCTAACTGTACATTTCAGACAAGTATATGTGAGTCAGAAAGTAATTCTCACAACAAAGTGTAACGTAAAAGTTTATTATTATCAAATATCAACATGTTTACAATATTTATACAAGGTTTTTACTATCAAAGTAAATAAAAATATTTTACTATGAATCGTTATATTTCATTTTTTTTACCAACTCTTAAATTGGGAGTTTAGTGGAATGGGAATATTATTTGTATTTCTGTATATCATTTACAAAATTAGCATTATATGTATATGTATATATTAACATGTACTTTGAGAAATATACTGGCTCAAACCTTGGAACAAATATTAACGAGAATAGAGTTCCAATGTGAAGCAACGGCTGAAAGTATTACATACAGCTATAGCTAACTATTATAATTGATAACTATAGAGGTTTTTTGGGATCTTTATTTAGTTAAAAATCAAAGACGCCAAGAAAAAAATACACTGTGTAAGCCAGTACCTGAACTAATGGGACCTTAACTTCAAGGACTCTCAATAAAAGTACATGTAAAATACAATAAGACATGCAGATACCCCAGCTTTTGCAACTGAATTTTAATGTCAAAGACACTTGATAAATGTGCATGCAATATTATACATAATACTCTTACCTCGATTCGTATGATATAATTTTATGTATATGTCCCTGACATTGATTGGGTATGTACAGGTATAAAAAATTTATGTAGGCGCTTCTTGATATTAAACTATACTTATTTAGAGTAATTGCAATATCAGTTTGTACTGTACGTGTACAAGTATTTAGTCTTTGTCATATATGTTCTTTTAGCACAAGTTACTGGCTTAACAAATACCTTCTTGAAAGCGTCTTGGAACAGTCTGTCTTAATGATACCAAAATTACACATGTACAGTACAAGACAAGATTTTTGTCTTTTTGCCAACGAAAACACTAAGTCTGGCTTCTGCATTTCAACAGTAGTAAATGTCATTAAACTGTCCAAGTTTGGCAGCATCATACCGATTACAGAGAGCAGGCAATCATTTCGATTGACTGTTTGTTTTCTTGTTTCTAGGTTCATCTTTGCTAAAAACTAATCGAATTAATAGAAAAAAAATTCAGAATTTTTATTAAATTTTGTTTTAAAAATTTTTATAATGAGTTGTAAAAAAAATTAACTAGGCTATATAATCATATATATTAAAAAAAAGCATTTGGAAGTTAACAAAAGCTTTTTTATATAATTACTTGTGCTTTACGTGTTTTTTCACTAGGATTAATTTTTTTTTTTAAGTTATAAATGGTTCATGTACCAATAAAATTTGAAGAAAGAAAATACCGAAAGATGTTTCGAATATATTCGACTATCACTAAAATGCTATCGAATAGTCGACTAAGGAAAATAATCATTTTGACATTCCTTTATTAGAATATACACATGTACATTCAAATTTACAAAACCATTTCTGATCTACTGACTCAGAGTTTTCCCTGGATTTGTTCCCACCTCTGCTGTTGAAGAGGTCCGTATTTGCTCTACTCCAAAATCTGTATTGTTTAATGAAATTTTGAACTGTGAAACTTTTCGATATCTCCATATATTTCAATGTAATTGTTTGGTAATATCTAAAACCAAGATGCTTGACGTAGAAAAAGTCCAAAAACTATTATTAATATATCTAAAACCAAGATGCTTGACGTAGAAAAAGTCCAAAAACTATTATTAATATTCAGCATACACGACTATACAATCATATAATCAACATTTCCTTTGAAAAGAATGAATCCGGAGTGTTTAAAAATTGAATTTTCTATTAATTTTGCTCAGTATTCTTTTTTCAAATGGTGGATTGGATGACCGTGTAATAAGAAATAGTTGTCATAAAAAAAAAACAACTAGTACCCAATATCAGAACAGAAGAACATCTGACAAGTCTGTCTCCTCAATATTCATGGAAATACGAAGAGTTAAGATCAGTACAAGGCAAAAATACCATATATGGAACAGAACGATAAGAAAATATTTGGCGGGGGCATAAAATATTAAAAAAGTAAAGCACGTTATGGACCATTTTTATTACCTTTGTATTACCTACGTTTATTACATGTTCCAGAGATCTAACTCCCCCGTATGCCCCCCCCCCGTGGGCCGTGTGTGAGGATGTGTTTTATATACCTTTGTTTATTGCATGTTCCAGAGATCTAACTCCCCCGTATGCCCCCCGCGGGCGGTGTGTGGGGATGTGTTTGAGTTTGACCGGAGGAGAGACGATGGGACCGTGGAACCCGAGAGGAGACACATTACTAATTGTTTCTGTAACAACACCAGGTCCTGTAACTTCAACAGAGGACACATGATCTACCAGAGCAGAACACAGAGGTCAGATATACTGATATTTGATAATAATTACCTAATGGGATTGGGCAAAAGTTTTAATACTCTCTAAATGTCTTACGGTTTGTAAAATGATAATTAGTTGCTTTACATCGTGAGCATAATTATAATGTTCAGGTAATGGCTATGCAACGTAAAGAACGAAAATTTCAATTTTTGTTTGAATGCGTCATTTGGTTGGATAGAAAACGTATCTATCCGCTTGACGTTTAGTATGGAAGGGAAATACCGCCAAAAGTCTATGTATCTTGCTTTTATTCTTATTCTGCCTACTTCTCTATGCTTTGTTATTATTGTAATTATATGTCACTTTATTGTTTTCATATTCGTCTTTATTACATTCTTCATTTTGTTTTTACTTCTATGTTGCTTTATTCTTGTAAATTCATTCTACTTTCTTTTAAACTTAAACAGTTTCTTTAATAAATTATTAGCATTATCTCTACTACGAATGTTAATTCAATCACGCTAACAATGAAGCATGTTCAATGAAGACGAATGGAAGTTGTCAAACCGTCAAAATTTAGTGCGGCATGATAACGCTAGGTGGCGTGGTGTTCGCTACGAGTGTTGGTAAAACTAGGTAAGCAAACCCGGGTCGGGTTATTTGAGATTCTTCAATACGCCTTAATACTTTATCAATCGAACTTCTGAAGGCCGGATCCGATCTCCCGATCCAATTATGGAAACTCCATATTTATTTTCTCTGGGCATACAGGAATAACGGCTTCTTTTTTCAGACATAACTTTATACTATACTTTGTTCATTTAAAGTCCGAGCCACTTTTTGTAAGAGTAAGGGTCAAATAAGTAAATGTAGTACGTATAGTAGAAAGAAAATTTAAATTTGATTCTAAAGAAGAAGTTGAATCTAACTCAAAACCTACCCCGCCCCCGAAATAGGATTTCATTGGCGTCGGAAGCTAATTGAAAGTTGGGGGGGGTAAGTATATAAGAATTTATTTTTTTTAGACCTTCACAAGCAAAACAAAAAAAAGTGTGTGTGGGGGGGGGGGGGGGCTAAAGCTACGCAGGAATGTTCAATGTCTATACTAAGTCTATCTTTGGAAAGAAGTGGGGGCTAAGCCCCCCCCCCCCCTTCCCCGGTTCCGAGTATTTTCAAGTTTGGACAATTTCCTGGGGTTTATTTTGCGCTTGACAAGTTGTTTCCAGCCGGGTTGCTTGAATATTTATTCTATTGTTGCCCCCCCCCCCTCCCCACTTTCAAAAACGATGCTACGTCACTGTTCTCTCGCCTGAAAAATATAACTCTACTAAAGTTATTTGTTGGATATTTTTGAATTACAGTTTAATTGTTATAAAAATGTTAAATATTTTGATACTAGTTAACCCTTATAAATTGGGTTGTTTTTCAGAGCCTTCCACTGAACTGAACTTTATTTCACGACAGATAGTAACTGCTAATGCGCGTGATTCTAGGGACAGGGCTTTGCAAAGGAGTGAGGAGAGTTATGGGTAGGCAGGCGCGGATCCAGAATTTTTTTTCCAGGGAGGGGGGCAACAGAGTCAAAAAAAAAACCCAATCCCAGAAATTTCTTGACAAGCATAAAAAGAAGAAAAAAAACTAAACTTCCTCAAACGTCAAAATTCTATTTCATGGGGGTGGGTAACTTTTTTCCATGTTTTAGTAACCTTGTTAATTCGAAGGGGTCCTAACCCCCCCCACCCCCATCTAGATCCGCGCATGGAAGGCGAAGTCGGAACCAGACTACATGCACCCAGGCATACTAGAAACACCTCGGTCTTTTTTCCTGCGTTAATATATATACTTTATACTAAAATAGCACTTATTAATAAAGAAAGAAATATCTTTAGTATGCACCGTGTTTGTCATCAACCAGGAGAGCTAAAAAAAAATCTAAAAACTCGAAAATTCTATTTGGTGGTGGTGAAGTGGGGGGGGGGGGGTCGTCAACTTTTTTCAGTAATAAATTTTACTCATATGCCACTAAGTACATGACTTTTAATATATAAATTGACTATTAGTACTGCAACAAAAAGTGTAAGGGATGGGGGCAACAAGCCTTTTGCTGAACTTTTCCAGTAGTAAAAAGTTACGTTTAGGTAAATGTTTCGTGGCCACCCTCCCCTCTACCGATGAAACTTACCCCATAGGAGGTCGTCCACCCGGAAGTCAGTATATATATTGAGACTTTGGTGGTGTGATTGTATCATTTCCTTTTCGAGAATTTTTCACTCAAAAGGAGAAGCCACCTCTTGCCGGTGGGGAGCTACAAATTTGTCCTACGAGGCACTTATAGCCATTGAGCAGTGAGGGATTTTTTTTCGTGCCAGCACCTACTGCGACACGGGACCTCGGATAATACGGTCTAGATCTTATCCGAAGGACCGAACGCCACATCCTATAATGGGATTCGAACCCACGACGTATTGGTCAACTCCTTACTACTGTACTTCGTGACTCTATAAAGAGCAGACGCCGTAGCCATAGTGCCACGCTGGCGACTGCATCCAAGGGGGGGGGGGAGAGAGAGAGAGAAAGAGTCATTATCCATATGTACTCGTGAAGATTAACTAAATGGTTAAAATGATTTAATTATAAAACACTATTAAAATGATATTATTTAAATATTTATTCATACAGAACCAGGGACCTATATACTAGTATATTTAAAAGATTTTAAAGAAAAAATATTTTAAACTAGATGCTGTCATGAGACAGTAATACCCGCACTAAGGTGTTTGCCTCTAAATACACGCTCCTACATATTGGGCGGCTTTCCAAAGAAATAGTCAAAATAATTCTATAATTTACATGTATTCATCAAATTGAGTATGAAATTCTCAGACCCTGTGACCAATAACTCAGAACCTCTTATATTTATTTTATACATGTTTAATTCATTATATACCAGTCTGAATTTTATTAATGATGTAAATTCATGCACGGATCTGTCGGGGGGGGGGGGGGGGGGGTCAGGACCCCCCCCCCCTGGAATTTACAAGGTTAAAAAATGTATATACTAAAACAAGGAAAAAGTTACAATGGACCCCCCTTGGAAAATGCAGATCCCCCCCCCCTGGTAAACACGAATATGTGTAAAATAAGTATGAAAAGTTAAACATTTAATTTGCGGCAATAGAAGTCACCATTACTCCCACCCCCCCCCCCCCCCCCCCCCCCCCCCCCCACGATATAGGTTTTTGACGTTTGGGTGAGATTTACTTTAGGTTTTTTTTTTGATTGTCAATTTCTGGGATAGGATTTTTTTTTGACTGAGGAGGACCCCCCCCCCCCCCCCCCGGAAAAAAATTTCTGGATCCGCGTCTGAAATTAGTTTTTGATATATGTTTTGCTCATAATAGGACCTTTTTAAATTTACTAACCCCCCCCCCCCTCGACACCACAATCACACAGCACATACTTTTTGGAATAGGCTAGATGGAAAAGGTTTGTTAAAATTTAATATCGTTTGTTATGAATTAATTTAAAATTTGTTCTTGTACTATACATGTGAACATGTAAATTTCTACATCACATCACGTTGCGTCACCCATTATCATATTTATAGATTAAACACCATTTGGCACACCTCGGCCGATTCCCACTTCATCTGATAAGGTGATGGAATCGACGAAGGTTCGCCAAAATGGCACATGGCTGCAGTCTGGTGCATTGGATTAATTCATTTTGAGTTATAATTGGATTTATATTTCATGAAGTTGAGACACAGGGAGTCGGTAAGTAGAAGTTTTAGTATAGTGGGGGGTAAAATACACCCAAACTATTAGGTTAAAGTTTAAAAAGGGTGAAAGATCATCGCATGCCACACTAGACGAATTTCATATTGTGAAGTTATCTCCCGTTGTCGATGTGACATTCAGTTACTGCCAATACTGGTGCGGATCCAGAATTTTTTTCGGGAGTAGGGAGGGGGGTTCACATCTCAGTCAAAAAATTCCAGCCCAGAATTTCGTGACAAGCAGGAGAAAAAAATGAAAACAAATAAACAAATAAAAAAACAATGATAGTGAGGTCAATGTTTTCTAAGTTTATAGGGAGAGGATGTCAAGAGTCATTTTTTACTTGCTACAGTATATAGTCTTGTTTAAATAACAAAGCAAATGCCAGATGGGGGGGGGGATGGGGGGATTCCAATCTTCCTACCCACTTCCTGTCCCTGAAATAACAATGTATTTTGTTATTCCAGTTAAATAGTATATTTTTTTCCATTTGACTAATTATTATACATATTTTGTTTCTTGTGTTTAGTATGTCTGTCTATAAGTCTGCAGAAATTAAATCCTAGTTAGCTTGCCCATAAGTTTTAAGTGGGATGGGCTATACAAATAGCTTCCACATTTTATAGGTTTATTTCTTGTGACAATTTAATAAGACCTTTTATTTGGGTACCATTAATTTTTACCTCTGATCGCTTGACATGGGATACACATTTTTACAAGAAAAATACCAAACTTTAAACTCTGCCTAAATTTTGATCAGTAGGTGCTAGGGCTTTCATACTTATCATGACATATTGTATTCATTGTGAACTGTCAACAGGTATAAATATGTTTGAACTTGACCCTAGAGTTTGAACCACTTAAACAAAAAAATTAACCTTGGCAATTAACTTTTGAACAGGAATTACTAGGGATTTCTTTATTTCACATGTGCATTCCTTGTGACAAGACTTTCTTCTGATACTAACAATTTGAACCCTTTGACCTTGACCTTTGATTTTGACATATATTTGAGAAACGTCAACCTTCGCCATAGGCTTCCATACTGGGACATCAGTGTTTCACAAACACATCTTATCTTCATTATTATTTGGCGGTGTCTCCATATGAGGGAAGATGTATTCACAACAAACAAACAAATCACTAAAGAAAATATAAAACATGAATATGTTGGTCATGCATATCTCTGCAGGAAAAAAAACAGCTTTTCAAATACTCCAACCATATCGTAACCCTTTCAAAACACTCATTTGAGCTTT